ACAGCTCCATATTTAATATGGGCGTTGTGTTCAGCAGTGGGGCCTTGCTGTCAATTGTGGAGATTAACAACCTGGGTTGTTTAGGGATTCCCATGGATCCCTTTGACCCACAGCTCTATCGGAGGTAACCCAGTCCTGGTACTATAACAAGAGATGGCCTAGGTCACCCATTATTTGGCATTTTCATTTAGATCACCTTCATGTATGTATGTATGTATATATGCATGCATTATGCATAATGTATATTTATATGGACTTTATATTTATATATTTATGATATATTTATATGTATATATTTTTAAAAGAAGTTTCTACTGTATTGTTTCCAGACTACCCCTCAAATGCCCCTTAATTTTAGCTGTCTCTCTCCGTATTCCCTTCCCACAACCCTTCCCCCTCCTCCCTACTTGATCCTCCCATTCCAGCCACTCCCCACCAACATCGCTTTATTCTGTCCCCTTTCCTAACAAGGCCTGTCTGTCTCACCTGGTCCCTTGCTCTGTACCTAACCTCTGTGCTCTGGATCGTTGCTTGGCTATCATTGACTTAACAGCTAATATCCACATATAACCGAATACATATCATACTTGTCTTCCTAGGTTCGGGACACCTCACTCAGGATGATTTTTTCGAGTTCCATCCATTTGTCTGTAAATTTCATGATGTCATTTTTTTTTCAATAGCAAAGTAATACTCCATTGTATAAACATAGCATGTTTTCTCTATCTATTCTTCTGTTCAGGGATATCTAGGTTGTTTCTAATTTCTGGCTATTTAAGAATAGAGTAGCAACTAAGATGGTTGAGCCAGTGTACTTATGGTGGGGAGATTCATCCTTTGGGTATACGACCAGGAGCAGTGTAGCTAGATCTTGAGGTATATCGCCTCCCATCTTCCTGAGCAGACACCACTGTGAGTTCTATAGTGGCTGTATGGGCTTGCACTCCCACCAGCAATGGATGGGTGTCCCTGTTACTCCACATTCTCCTCAGCATGAGCAGTCACCTGTTCTGTTGATCCTAGCCATTCTGATGGCTGTAAAATGGACTCTCAAAGTACTTTTGGTTTGCATTCCCCTGATGGCTAAGGATGTTGAACATTTATTTCTTTAAGTGGTTCTCAGCCATTTGAGTTTCTTGTATTGAGAATTCTGTTTAGATCTGTACTCCATTTTTTAAAAATTGGGTTGCTTTCTTGTTATCAAGCTTCTTGGGTTCTTTATGTGTTTTGGATATTAGCTCCTTATCAGATGTGTAGTTGGTAAAAATCTGTCTCCATTCAATAGACTGCCTCCTTGTCCAAATGATGGTGTCTTCTTCTGAGCAGAAGCTTCTCAATTTTGTGAGGTCCACTTTTTAAGTGTTGATCTTGGTGCCTGGACTAATTGAGTCTTTTCCTGGCCAGTGCGTGCAAGGCTGTTGCCCACCTTCTCCTCTATCGGGTTCAGTGTATCTGATCTTATGTTGAAGACGTTGATCCCTTTAGAGTTGGGTTTGTGCAGGGTAATAAGTATGTGCAGGTAATAGGTATAATATAGGTAATATCTATTTGGATTCTTCTCCATGCAGACATCCAGTTTTATAGGTTTCATTTGTTGAAGATGCTTTCTTTTCCCAGTGTGTATTTTTGGCTTCTTTATCAAAAATCAGATGTCCATAGGTTTGTGGACTTAGATTGGATCTTTACTTTGATACCTTTGATCAACATGTCTGTTTTTGTTCCAATAATATACTTCTCTTTTGGTTTTTTGTTTGTTTCTTATTAAAGCTTGTAGAACAACTTGAAATTGAGGATGGTGATAGCTCCAGCAGGTCCTTGATTACTCAGGATTGTTTTAGCTATCGTGTGTGTGTATGTGTGTGTGTATTTCCATATGGAGCTGTAAACTTTCAAGATCTGTGAAGAATTATGTTGGAATTTTGAAAGGGATTGCACTGAATCTGTGTGTACTTTTGGTAAGATGGTCATGTATTTAGCTACGGCAGATCTTTCCATCTGCTGAGACCTTCTTCAGTTGCTTTCTTCAATGACTTAAAGTTCTTGTCATACAGGTCTTTTTCACTTGGTTAGCGTTACCCCAGATATTTTATTTTATTTGAGGCTATTATGAAAAGTGTTGTCTTTCTGTTTTCTTTCTCAGACCATTTGTCATTTGTGTGTAGGAAGGCTGCTGCTCATTTTGTCAGTTAACTTTGTATGAAGCTCCTTTGCTGAATGTGTTTATTAGCTGTAGGATTTACCAGGGGGATATTTAGGGTCCTTTGTGTATACTACCATGTCATATCATCATAGCATAGCATCTGCAAATAAAGATGCTTTGATTTCTTCCTTTGCATTTTATATTCCCTGGATCTCCTTCAATTGTTGTGTTTCTCTAGCTAAGACTTCAAGTATGACAACTAGGTATGGAAAGAGTGAATAACCTTGTCTTCTTCTTGATTTTAGTAGAACTTTGAGTTTCTCTCCATTTGAGTTGATGCTGTCTACGAGCTTGCTGTAAACTGCCTTTATTGTGTTGAGGTATGTCCCTTGTGTCTCTAATCTCTCCAGGACTTTTAACATGAAGGAATATTGAATTTTGTCAAAGGCCGTTTCTGCATCTAATGAAATGATCATGTGTTTTTGGTCTTCCATTGTGTTTATATGGCAGATTACATTTCTTGATTTAAGTGTGTTGACCCTCTCTGAGATGACACTTACTTGATCATGGCGAATGATCTGTTTTAATGTGTTCTTGACTTTAGTTTGCAAGTATTTTATTGAGTTTTTTTTCATCTATGTTCATAAGGGAAATTGGTCTGTAATTCTCTTTCTTTGTTGTGGTATGGCTTAGGTATCACAGTGACTGTGGCTTCACAGAATGAATTGGGCAGAGTCCATTCTGTTTCTGTTTTGTGGAATAATTTGAGGAGTATTGGCATTACTCTTTGAAAGTCTGGTGGAATTCTGCCCCAAATCCATCTGGCCCTGGGCTTCTTTTGGTTGGAATGTTTTACTGACAGCTTCTGCTTCACTAGGGATCACAGGTCTGTTTAAATCTGATCTGGGTTGAGCTTTGGTAAATGGTGCCTATCAAGAAAATTAACCATTTATTTTAGATTTTCAAATTTGGCAGAGTACAGGTTTTTAAAGTATGTCCATATGAGTCTCTGGAGCTCCTCGGTGTCTGTTATAGTCTTCTTTCATTTCTGATTTTATTAATTTGGATATTCTTTCTCAGCCTTTTAGTTAATTTGGATAAGGGTTTATTAATCTTTTTTTAAAAAACTTTCTATTGGTTCTTTGTGAGTTTCACATCCTGCACCCCAGTCCCACTCATCTCCCCGCCCCTCACCTCTGCCCTCTGTCCTCGCAACCTCCCCCTCAAAGTACAGCATATACAAATAAACAACAGCAGCAACAACAACAAAGCACAGCAAACATCTCATCATGGAAGCTGCAGTATGTATGTCACAGTGTGTCCCACAGACTGTCCCTCTGCCCACACATCTTTACTTGCAAATGTTCATGGCAATGAGTCACTGGTCTGGTCTGAGATCCCTGGCTTTTGGGACACCATCAATATTTGATCCTCATCTGAACTCCTCCAGGTTATCCTGTTGTTGTTGCCCAGTGTCATGGAGATCCTGCAGCTTTGAACCCGTCTCGACCATCCACATGATACAGGTTCTAGAGTGGGCCAACTCAGAGCCCTGGATTTGGGCCTGGGTAGTAGCTGAGCTGGTCAGCATCCCAGTGGACTCTCCCTTTTCCACACCAGCAGGGCAAGCTCTCCAATCTTGCTCCAGCTAGGCCAGCCAATGCTGCTGTCCTCAAGAGGAAGAGTCAGTTCTCATGCTCACACAGCTGGGTCATCTGCAACCACCCTGCTCCAGAGCCAGCTCCAGTGTGCTGCTCAGTCACGGTGCTCCCCATTCTCCTATGTGCTGCAGCCTGTGAGGGGCTGGACCAGCTCTCCAGCTCTCATACCCTTGGGGGTGCTTCACCCGTGCCTTTACCATCAGGACCAGCCTCACACGGTTGTCCTGGTGAGGTGCAGGGCCTGCTGAGTGCTACAGCAAGTGAGTGGGCAGGGTCAGCTCTCCTGACTGTATCAGGTGGAGAGGGGCCAGGGGATGGAGGGCCGTGCTCTCCTCCAGGCCACTTCACAGGCAGAGGATTGGTGGGATCATCTTTCCTTCCTTCACACTCTCTCTCACCCACCCTCAGGGCCATCTCTACTGTGCTGCTCAGTGAGAGGCAGGCAGAGCTCCGCTGGATTCATGGCCCTGTGGCTGCTTTCCCAACTGCCGGTGGTGGGGAGGGTAGGAGGGGCATCACCTCTGTGCTCATGCCACCCACGGCAGATAAGTGGCAGGTCAGCTCCCCCATGCTCACACTATGAGACCAGCTTACCCACACTCCTGCCACCAGGGCCAACCCCACTGTTCTGCCTAGAAGTACAGGGCCTGCTCTCCCGAGTCCTGCTGCCTAGTTCTACACAGCCCTGAGACATCCATATAGTCCCTAGCAGCTGCCCAGAACAAAGACATCCCCATGTTCTGTAGTGGTAACGTGAGCCACAGACATAGACACTGACCCTTGCTGCTATGTAGTCACTGGCCTTAAGCAGCCGCTCAGGCTGGGACCTCACCATGGCCCCAGGTAGCAGGGCTGGCCACTGACAACAGGCTCCTCCTCCTCCTCCGCACCTCCAGTCTCCTGCTTCATCTGTCTTCATGATGCTCGAGCTGCTCCGCCTCTTTCTCTCCCATCTGACCACCACAGACTTACACACTGTGATGGCTCCTGCTGTAGGGACCCTGAGTGACATCCTTCCATGTGTGCTGCATAGTGTAGCGTCAAGTGGCAGGTCTCTGTCTTCTGCCTCCTGCTCTGCACTGCATGTCTGTGCCCATGCCAAGGGGCAGCGGTCAGGTCTGTGGTGGAGAGTGGCTTGGTGGGATGCCGATCTCTGTCTTCTCTCTCCCTAACTGCACTGCCTGGGTTAAATTAGATTTTTATGAATCCTAGGCGTAAGACACCTTTGGCCACCAAGCCAGGCATCAGGCTAGGATGAACAAAGGACTGCCATCTGCCCTGCCCCTGACTGACATAAGAACTCCACCAACAAGGTGTCTCTTTGCCCATTGCTGGGGGTGGGGCTATTAATCTTCATGATACTTTTTCAAATGTTTCATTGATTGATTGTTTATATTGTTTTTTGTTGTTGTTTCTAGTTTACTGATCTCAGTCCTGAGTTTGATCATTTCTGTTTCTTTTGGTTGTGATTGTTTTGTTACTGTTGTTCTAGAGCTTACATCTTATACTAGTTAAATTGCTAGTATAAGATTGCTTCAATTGTTTTTGTTGTTTTGGGTTTTGTTTTTGTTTTTCAAGACAGGATTTCACAGCAGAACCAGCCCTGGCTGACTACAGCTCATTTTGTAGACCAGGCTGTCCTCGAACTCACAGAGATCCACCTGCTTCTGTCTCTCCAGTGCTGGGATTAAAGGAGTGCATATCACCCCCGGCTTTCTCTTCTTCTTTTTTTAAAAATGTAGGCACTTACTGCTATGAACTTGTGCCTCTTGGAACAGCCTTCACTGTGTCCACAAGCTGGAATATGCTGTGTATTCATTTTAATTCAATTCTAGAAAGTCTTTCATTTCTTTTTTAATTTGTCTTGACCCATTTTTTCATGTAGAGAATTGTTCAGTTTCCATAAGTTTGAAGATTTCTGTTGTTTCTGTTGTTGAAATCCAGTTTTAATCTGTGGTGGTCTGATGGGATGCAGGAGATTATTTCAATTTTCTTGTGCTTTTGAGACTTTTCCTCTGTTGCTTTTTGTCTGAGTATATTGTCAGTTTTGGAGAAAGTTCCATTAAGTGCCGAGAACAAGGTATATTCTTTTTTTGTTTGAGTAAAAATGTTTGTAAATATCTGTTAGGTCCATTGGGCCTATACTTTCAGTTAGCTTCAACATTTCTCTGTCCTAGTTTTGTCTGGATGTCTGATTGATTGACAAGAGTGAGGGTACTGAAGTCTCCCACTGTCAGTGTGTTTGGATCAATATGTGATTTCAGCTGTTGGTGGATTTGTTTTACAAACATGGCTACCCTTTTGTTTGTGGCACAGATGTTAAGAATTGTAGTTTGCCTACCTGCTTCTCTAGCTGGAGAGGCCTGTGGCTCAGCCTGCTTTCTTAAAGGACCACCAGCCCAAGGATGACACTACCCACAGTGACCTGAGCCTTCTCCTCATCAGTCATTAATTTAAAAAATGCCCTTTAGTCAGATCTGATGGAGAAATTTCCCTAATTGATGTTCCCTCCTTTCAGATAGCTCTAGCATGTGTCAAGTTGACATAAACTAGCCAACACACGTGCGCATGCACGCGCGCACGCACACACACACACACACACACACACACACACACACACACACACACACACTAAAACCCTGTATTTGTGTTTATGCCCAATGTTCACTTATTAACCCTGCTGGGAAGGCAGTGCTGGCCATAGTCTACCTTACTTACCTGTCTAAGAATGGTAGAGGGTCTGGCAGACCTGGCACACACCATCAATCCCAGTACTCAGGAGGCAGAGACAGGAGGATCTCTGCGAGTTTGATTCCATCCTAAGTCTGCTATATAAACATGTCAACAGTCATGAAGTCAAGACTGACTGGTTCTGCTGTGAAATCCTGTCTTGAAAAACAAAAACAAAACCCAAAACAACAAAAACAATTGAAGCAATCTTATACTAGCCAGTAAGATGGCTCAGCTGTGTGTGCCGTTCGGCTCTGGACGGCTCAGGGAACTTGTCCTCTGGCCTCCGTGTGGATGCTGTGGGCTTGCACATACAGTAATGTTAAGAACTTAAAACGGCTAAGCTGTATTTACAGAAAGCATCTCTGTAATCCCAGGTGTGAGGCTTCAGTCTCTCCTCATCCCCAGAGCAGCAGGGAAGCCAGAGCTGTTCCACCTGCTGTTGTGTGGTACTGTGTGGTAACACGTCACCATGGCTTTGGTGTACATTTCTGAGTGGGTAGAGATGTACACTGCAGTCTGTTACATTGTCTGCTCACCTTTGGACTACAGAAACACTTCATAAATTCTAGACAGAAGCTTTCTATATGTAAACCTTACCTCTGGCCCTCTGTTGGGTGCTTTTTGTTTTAAAGTTATGCACAGTATTTGTGTTTGTCTGTCTGCATGTGCTGGTGTGAGGTTGAACTCTTAATTCCTGCCTCAGCCTTCCACATGCTGGGATTAGTTGACTCTGTGATTTTTTTAAGACTTATTTATTTTATTTTATATGAGTACACTGTAGCTTCTTCAGACACACCAGAAGAGGGCATTGGATCCCATAACAGATGGTTGTGAGCCACCATGTGGTTGCTGGGAATTGAACTCAGGACCTCCGGAAGAGCAGTCAGTGCTCTTAACCACTGGGCCATCTCTCCAGCCCCAACTCTGTAATCTTGTATCATATTGTGGGCATGAGTCTCACTGTCTTGCTTGCTGTGTCTGCCTAGTAAGCCTGGAGCCAGGCAGCACCGTCGTCTCGTTGTGTGCTCTCTGGCTGTGCTTGGTGTTTGGATCCTTTGCTTCCGGTGTCCACATCAACATCAGTGGTCGTCAGTCTGCACAGAAAGCCGTGCTGGGATGCGACAGTATATGGAAAATTATGGGAAATTTGCTGGTTTATTTTGCACTGTTTTTAAAGACAAGCCAGCAGCAAAGCATTTGGTTTTCTTTTTTAAAATTTAGTTTGTTCTGTCGGTTGAAACCTCGAGAGAAGATTACTCCTCAGTGGCATGAGAAGCCCTATGAGTGGAACCAGGTACGTGGGATGGATGCCTGCAGGACCGGCTACTGCTGGACAGGACCAGCTACTGCTGGACAGGACCGGCTACTGCTGGGGGAGGGAAAGGTCACTGAGTGGATATGGGCTCATGCCAGGACAGCAAGGGTGACAGGAGCAGGCTCTCTGGGCAGAGTAGGCAGCCAATGGAGCAGACAGCCGTTTCTGAGTGGCATCCTCTGTGTAGCCTTGGGAGGAAGCCGGCCTCCTAGAAAGGCAAGTGTGAGCTCCTTCAGACCTCGCAGCACCGGTGCAGTGTGTGTTTGTGAGCACCAGGAAGCTCTCAGCTCTAGGTGTCTTTTGCAAAGGTGCTAACCTCAGTGTTCCCTCCCCCAGCCTTAGTCATCCCACAGACCTCACCTCCTGATCTTATCACTGCAGACCAGCACTGGAGCATTCGACTCTGGGACACAGGTCAGGGGTGCAACAGGATGCGGCCCTTCATCTCCTTAGCATTTCTCTATAAGGCTTAGATAATGGAGTGAGTTGTTCAAGGGTAGGGAGCCGAGGGGCAGTTCTCAGCTCCAGCATTAGAGCCCGGCATGTCTTTGCAAGCCAGGCTTTCTATCTCTAGTGCTATCACTGGAGCAGCTGCCATTACAGACTTCTGAATGGAGCGCCAAGCTCAGCAAGCAGGGCCATGACGTTGGCACAGTGATGGGCAGTAGCTGAAAGTAGAGTTGTCCTTGAGAGTTAGTGTGCTTTAGAAAACTTAGTTTACATAAGTCCCCAAGTCCCTCTTCCCACATACACACGTGTGTGGGAGATTTCTCAGTAAAGGTGACCGCAGTATTAAGCATCAGTTTTGAAATGTCTGATCGGGCAGCAAAATGGTTTTGCTTGACCTGACACCCGAGCCATGTTGTGAAAGGAGAGACCCATCTGTCACAGGTTGTCCTCTAACCACACGTGTGCTGTGGCACATGCACACACGCATGTACACACACAAATGAAATTTTAAAACCCCACAATGTGTATTAAAATGGACGATCAGATATGTGGGGTGAATTACGAAAGTGAAGATGCATCTGCAATAGTTTTGTAAACTGGAAAGAACACTTGGCTGTCTTAACATGTCCGCAGCTGTGAGCACATATCTAGACAGATTTCATCCAGAGCCTGACTTGCTTCTCTTCTCTGCACGACTAGGTGGACCCAAGGCTGGTCATGGAGCAAGCTGACCAGGAGGGCAGCCGAGGGAAGAGCACTTCCCTGTACCAGCTGCACACGCCTGTGGTGCTCAGCCCCTGACCGGCTTGTCCCAGCGGAGGTCTGCTCCAGGCTTTCCTGAAGCTGCTTCCTATCCCTGCTGCCCCCAGGGGCTTCTCCGTCTTGCTCCTTTTGCTCAGAGTGGACAGTGGTCTTTCTGCTTGGGTGGGAAAGATCAGAAAGTCTAGTCTTCTCAAGAAATGTGGGTCACGGTATTAAATACTTTGCAAAAAGTTGTTCTGAAATAAGGTTTTGTTTTGGGAAAAGCTGTATTCTTCTTTGACTGTCTGAGGGTGAATCTAAATAGTCAGCCCAGGAGCCAAGGGTCCAGAGCGGGTTTGTGCGCCTGACGGTCACAGTGTTAGCTATGGTGCAGGAGAGAGCCAGACCGCTGGCTTACCACAGATCACATGTGACCCCTGACCCTCAACCTGTGTGCGTGTGCGTGTGTGTGTGTGCTTAAAAAAACGTGGCATTTTTTAATGTTTTTTCTTCATTGAAAAGATGTGGTTTTAGTAAAACTTGAGTTTGGTGTGTTTAGGACTTGTGGTTAAATTAAGCCTCTTGGTCTATGTTTTGGAAATTAGGAGATGTGACTTGGTGAGACAATAAAGGCATTGGACTTCGTTTCTGTTCTGATGACTTTTGCTCAGAGGTTATTATTATCTTAGTCACTGTTCTGCTGCTGTGAAGATATTTGCATAACCATGGCAGCTCTTACAGGAGAAAGCATTTAACTGGGGCTTTCTTACAGTTTCAGAGACTTAGTCCACTACCATCATGGAGGCGGGTATGGCGGCGGACATGGTAGTGTGGTACTGGAGATGTACCTGAGAACTATACCCTAATTTTCAAGCAGAGAGAGGGAGACTGGGTCTGGCATGGGGTTTTGAAACCTCAAAGGCCATCCCCAGTGAGACATAGCCTACAAAGATTAGCCATGCCTCCTAATCTTTCCCCACTACTGCCACTCCCTGTGACCAAGCATTCTAACCCCAACCACCACAGTTAGGAATTTCATTGTGAAAAGATTTGGGTTTATAAAGCTGGGGAAGAGATCATAGACATCTTCAAAAACCCAA